TCGATCCACTCCACTGTCACACTCTCGTTGTCCTCATGCAGTGATGTGACCATGGCCTGGTGTATTCGTCCTGCAGTGGCGGGCACAGACACGGGATGTAGAGTCAGGTTATGTTTGATGCTGGAGCCTTTAGGTCAAAGGTCAAAGTGTTTATTTATCATATGCACGGTTAGGAAACGTGTTTCCCTGTACCATGAAATTCTTACTTTAGTCACAGGAGCAGACATTAACACGTGCACTGAGCCATGAATCAGAGGTGCAGTATCTGACTGAGAAGTTACATTTTCCTTGCAATAAAAAGCCAATTCTGTGAAATCTTAACATTTTAGTTCGGGATGTCTTCAGAGACAGTTGACCATTAAAGAAAGGACCCTGAGATGCTAATGGGTGTGGCTCGTGAGGGATGATGATGATGACACTTCCCCATCATTCAGTGTGTGCCACATAACTTCAGCAGCTGTTGGACCTGCTGCTAATGATTCTTGGCATGTCAGTCGTTAAAATTTACACATTTTATAGGAGAAAGGTTTTTTTAAACAGGCTTTTTCTGTGCCTGTGAGATGAGATGCAGTCAGAAGGGAGAGGCCCCTGCATGCAGCCATGCATCCATCAGCCCGTGAGTCACAGGCCACTGCTGGATGATGCGGTGCAGGTCGGTGCATGCACCTCATCCTCCGGTGGAGGGTCTCAGCCAAGAAGCTGGGAGGAGAACAAGCAGGTGTCATTGGTGGCTAAAGTCACACACAGGTGGACGGCTCCGCCCGGCCGGCGTGACTCCGCAGCAGGGCAGTAAACACTAATGTTGTTGAAGCTACATCTTTAACACCTCACTCGATACGATACGAACACGATAACCCAACGAAGGTGATGTAGCAGCCTGCTAGCTAGCACAGACATCGGCTGCAGTAACGGAGCAGCCGGATGGAGAGCGGTGTCTGGGGGTGAACGTACCGTCGCTCCGTTTTATCTCCACGTAAATACCCACGAAGATCTTCCCGAAAATCCCGGCCATCTCTCCCGCTGCGTTTTTTTGTACAATTCGTGTGTCCTGCTGCAAAAACCGAGGTCACTATCGGTCAGTCATAGGAGAGGCAGGAGAAGAAGGAGCCGCTGCGCATGCGCACTGTGATGTCTCCTAGAATAAAAAACGTCAGATTTGATCGAGGCTAATAATTAAAATGTCATTAAAACCCATCCTGACAAGAAGGCGGAGAAGTGGAAACACACCGGCTCTGGATGTTGTCACAATATTTATACTGATCCTCAAATTATGGCGGAGGAAGTAGATGGATTGTAACAATAATAGTAGAGTAACAGGAGACTAATACAGTGTAAAATACTCTGGTGCACGTAAAACTCATGCATTCAAAATGTTACTTATGTAAACGCGCAAAAGTATTAGCATCAAAATATACCTAAAGTACCAGAAGTAAAGGTACCTGTTATGCAGAATGCAATGTCAGATCAGAGGTCAGTGTCAAGTCAAGTCAAGATTTTTATTTGTTATTTATGCATAAACAGACCTTCTAGGCATATAGGACGTCTTGTGCAGCTCTCCTTTGGAGTCAGGTAAGGAGTCAAAACCCAGAAAGAACACTTAGTCTTAAAATAAAAAGTTACATAAAGGCAACAAAGCATTAAAACACAATACACAAAAATAGGGTAATAGTATTTTCCCCAGTGACCTTCGAACATCGCACTTAGTAATTCACATGGTGGAGTTGGATATGTCATTACGCTTGGTGAGGTAGTGAGGGGTTATAACGTACTGAAACACAGTTTATATTCAGGCCTGTTTTCATTGCTTGGTAGAAAATGTCCTGATATTATTCAGGTCCCACAAAAGAACAGTTGATGAGATGCTCTTACAAAAATACCTTGTGGAACATTTCTCTATTACTATTGTGCATGTCTACTAAGGAGTTATTGTACATATATTCTCACAGTGGCTGCTGGAAGGGCATTTAATACATTTTGAGAGCGTTTATAAATATACAGTACAGTATCATTGTTGGTTTAACAGAAAAGAAGAATACTGTGAGCCAGTTGGTTGAAGCTTCCCATCACCATCACTAGGTGGCAGTAGAATTCTGTTACAGGACCAACAATCTGGGTTATAAAGTTCACTGTGCAATTGGATGTTTATTTTTTATTGTAGGCTAATTTATCACCATCTTGTTTCTGGTTTCGAGTGTATTCGTGTCCACATCCTTATCAACAAAAAGGAAAACAATGAGTAACTAAAATACTGTGTAAACTAGTCAGTTCCCCTACTTTTGCAATGCTCCCACATATCTGTGATGTATTATTATTTTATTATTTATTGATTATTTGTTCTTCATTGATCCTGGTGTTCAGGAAACGTTTTAGGCTACTCAGAAGATCGAATTCCACTTCGTAGTTCTGTCCTGAGTTGTGGTTAATATTAGCATTATCTCTGTACAGGTAAAACGTTCGCATATACCTTAATTAATCACTAATTTAAGGCACCGCCCGGTCGGCCTGTCAAGTGACCCAAATCAAACGCACTCACCAGTAACCAACAGGTGCAGGCGTCTGGCTAATTGCTAAACGGCCATGACACCTCCTTCTGCGTTTTCTTCTGAGCTATCACCGACGGTGAGGAGTATTTGTGGCTGTTCCCTGTCACAGACGTGTCACTGTTCATTCAGGTCACTGTTCATTCAGCCCAGATCACTGTTCATTCAGCCCAGATGTGTCACTGTTCATTCAGCCCAGATGTGTGTACAGACTTTGAGGAGCTCGGTGGGACCAGACAGGCGGAGTGTGGACTGGTCTGCGTTGGGAATAAACGAGCAGAGGACTTCGCGGTGCACTGGACCTTCAGCCTGACCTTCATACAGGTGAGCAGAACCACACCTGGGTGTAACTCTAGATGTGGAAAACTGCAGGTTTTCATTGCTTTAACGTGTGTGCACGCGCGTGCGTGTGGCTGTTTACATTGTCTGTACATCTCTGTTGGCCTGCTGTTCTGGTCAGTAGTAGAAACTTGGTGCTTTAGGAGCAGGACCCACATATCACCAGAGTTTTGTCAATCTTTAGTCGTTTTGCATCTTTGTGTTCATTTTGTGTCTATAGTTGTGGCAACTTGTTTTGTGAATGTTTTTATTAATTTTTCATTAGTTTTAATTTCTTTTCCTTCTCTTTTTAGTTGCTTTGTGTCTCTGTGGTTATTTTGTCCATGTTTTACTTGTTTTTGACTATGAGGTTGTTTTGATTGTTCTTTTACATTTTACATCTCCTATTAGCTGATTTTGCATTGATTTGATAATTGACTCTCCAACAAGAAATGCTGCTACCTCACACAGAGGCTCTGGTCCTCGGCCCCGGGGCCTTTGCCTAAAGGGCCCATTGAGTGATCCATCTGTGGGCAAAGTATTATACTTTTTACTCTTACAGTTACTGGTTTGGGGGCGGCTGCAGCTCAGGAGGTAGAGCGGGTCGTCTCCTAACTGGAAGATTAGCGGCTTGATTCCCGGTTTGTCTGGTCCACATGTCGAAGTGTCCTTGAGCGAGACACCGAACCCCCCATCACTCCCGGGGATGATGTTTGACGTTTGTGGATTTGTCCTCTTACACAAAAAGTCGGGGCCCTCTATAACATTAGAGTTTTCCCTGTAATGATTTGAGAAAAGTCCAGAAGATGAATACAAAGCAGTCTTTCAGTATTTCACGACCCTTCAGTTTTATCTGGTGATCCTTTGGAGGCCCTGACTCCTAGGTTGGGAACAACTGGACTAAACTAGTTGTGTATATAAAGCTGCCTCACTTGGAGGCATCCGCCGTTTACGTCATCACTACGAAACAGGACGTGATGGGAGGGGGAAGGGTGGTTAGGAGCAGCTGATGGTGTCAGTTTGTTTTGGGTCTCACTAGACCCTCTGGGCTGAAATGACAGGCAGAGTAGGTTTAATTAGTGATGGAACTAATCGTCTGTTGCAGCCCTACTTGAGTGTTGAACTGCAGCCACAGCGGCTCATCCAAATGTGTCAGGCTGACACAGCAGCCTCCTCCCACTACCCCCTCCAAAAGCCTGGCTGAAGCTACAGAGCTGTCACCGCTGCTGTGTAACAACCATCCATTACTGAGATGATTGAAGACCGCATACGCCTCTAAGTCTGCTGCATTCTAGTTACACAACAGTTCACCTCAGACCCGTACATTTCATCAGCAGAACAGGACCATGTCCTGTTTTTTAACCAAACAGGTCATTGCATGCAAACGTTTACAGTACATGTTGCTGCATGGAGACAAATTAAAGGAGAATGTGTAGACGTGTCGATGAGATGCTGGGGATATATAACTTAGAACGTTTCTCAGTATTCTATTGCTTCCTGACAGGATGAGTGGATGGTACAGGGTCTGGTCTTATTTAAATGCAGCAGAGGCTTATTCAGTGATGGAGTGAACAAGCTGATGAACATGTGAGCTGGACAGAGGGATGTTTGGCCTGATGTGCAGTCGTCTGTTTGGCTCCATATGGGGGGGCAACATGAAAAATCAGGTTGTTGCTGATCTGTTAATGGCTGTTTGAGTCCCAGGGTCTGTGGAGCCGAGTTAGAAGTGGGAGCAGTGGATATCTGCTGCGTTTTGGTCCGTCTGGTACCTGTTCTCTCAGGTTTCTCTCCCACACATCAACCAGCTGGAGTCTGGTTGACTTTGTCACTAGTTCAGGTTCAAAGGTCAAAGTGTTTATTTGTCATATGCACAGTTAGGAAACGTGTTTCCCTGTACAATGAAATTCTTACTTTGCCGTCCACATGAATGCCACAAAATACAAATGAAATATAAAGTAGATAAATAAGTAACACAAAATCGAAGGCACTTTAATCAGCAAATAAAATTTATAAGACATCAAATAAAATATATAAGAATATAATAAGAGAATGTATGCTGCATGGGAGCAACAGTCAAAATGTAACCCTTCCTCAAAGAGCCAGAGTGTACTGGTTTATAAAAATTTTTCAGTACAGTAACATCTGAGGGTATAAGGAGATAGCTGCCACTATAACTGCAGTTTGTTGTTATTTGGGAGGTTTTGGGGTCTTATCCTGAATTAATAACATGAAAGAGGGAGGTCTGCAGGGAACTCTGTTCACAGGTTCATGGTAGTCAATTACTGAGTGAATATCTCCGCCAAAAAAAAAAA